TTCGAATATGCGACTATTCGAATATTGGACTATTTAACAATGCAATTACTCACTTTTTGATTTGAACAATTTAAAATTTCAATTGTTTCAATATTTGAATTTGAATGATACAATATACGACGTGTTTTCGGTGAAGATCAGCTTTCAATTAATACAATGCATTTTTGTTCGTAATGTAAATTTAACCCTCTGTAAGTTTGCCATTTAGAAAACATCTAAATTATTTTAGTTTTTCTGACTAATACTCTGCATAAAAAATCAAAAATTCGCTTCGTCGTAGAACGTTCTTTTGCGGGAAGTAGAAACTTTTATCAAGAATGATTGTTAGTCGAAAAACGTCATTTTTAAAGTCCCATTTTGTTCTCTTAATTAGGTCCTCTATCAATATTTGACTATTGGAATATTAGACTATTCGAATATTCGACTTTTTGACTACATATTCAAATATTCGACTATTCGAATATTCGACTATTCGAATATTCGACTATTCGAATATTCGACTATTCGAATATTCGACTATTCGAATATTCGACTATTCGAATATTCGACTATTCGAATATTCGACTATTCGAATATTCGACTATTCGACTATTCGAATATTCGACTATTCGAATATTCGACTATTCGAATATTCAACTATTCGAATAGGTATTCGAATATTCGACTATTCGAATTATTCAACTATTCGAATAAAATACCAAACGACTATTCGAATACTTGGATTTCAAAAATTCCGAGCCCTAATATGCACAAATAAAAATATTTCTGAGTTCAATTCTGAGTTTTAATTACCCAATAGGTACTTACCTACCCATAAAAATTACCATCCTAAATGTTGGAATGATGTTTTTAAAATATTTTAATAATGTTTTTTAAATATCGTTTTGATGTTCACAAAACCAATATAGTTTTTTCAATGTGTGGAAAATATTTTATTTATATTTTTTTTGAAAATGTTCCACAAAATATCCAAAAGACGTTTTAAAAATATATTTGGATATTTTAAAAATGTTTTTAAAACATTCTCAAAAATATCATACAGATACAAACATTTTTAATACATCGTTTCTGAATCCGCATTATTTTTTTTTTTCGATGATGATGTTCAAAAAACATTTTCATACTTTCTAAAAATGTTTGAAAAATATCGTATGGATATTCAAAAAATATCGATTCGTTACCGCAGAATGTTCAAAAAATGTCCTAAAAATATGTTTTATGGATATTTGGATGTTTTAAAAATATATTTGATCCGAAAAAAAATATTTTTTGAATCTTCAAAAAATATTATTTGGCTATATGGGTTGTCACAATTGATACCAATATATACGTCATGCTTCTTTCTTTACAAAACATGGAACAGGTTATTCCTAAGTTTCTACAGCCACAGGATGCTTGGCAACCTTTCGTGTATGCACAAGCAATTTGCACCAGCAAAGTTTGCGGGGCAGGAGGATTGACCGTCCGTATTGGCATTAAACCATGGTTTGACTTTTTCCAAACCCAGTCAAGTGGACTTTATGGCCGCTTCCACCAACTATTTTAGGGAAGCCTTAACGATAAGTATTCCCTAAACTGACATTTCTCCATGGAAAACTGTTAGTTTAGGGAATACTTATTGTTAAGGCTTCCCTAAAATAGTTGTTGGAAACGGCCATTAGAGCATTTTGATTCCACTGCTGTAGTTAGTGTTACGTCCTCAAGCTGTAGGTAGGTATATGCTGTGCAAAATGTCTAACAGCCGTATGCAACATCCTTTTTTAACTTAAAAGCACTTTCAAAAACTTGTAACTTTTAAAAAATTGTATTCTTCTTCTGTAATCCATTCAAATTTTTAAAATTCACAGCTTTCAAAGTCACGTTTGAGGTTAAAAGAGGATGTTGCATATATACGGCTGTAAATCTCACATTTCCAAAAAAAGTATATTATTTACTAATTGACAATAATTGATAAATATATTAGCTTAAATATAAATTTGGAGACGTTATTTGAATTTGAGTAAATACATCTACTATTGTCACTTATTTATTGTAAAATAGTTTCTTAATTGAATAAAAATAAATTTAGCATGCAAAAAAAGAAAATATCACGATACGATAGCAAGAAGTTGAAAAATCGAAAAAAAGTTGCTAACTTTGAATGCCTATATCTCCGTCATTATTTATCGTATGAATTCTTTTATACAGTTCTTGTCCAGTAAGGAAGATATTATTCTGTTGTTTTTGGGTATATTTGGACCAATGAAACCAAGTGGTTTTGTTTTTTAAGCTACGTTTCGAAAAATGTATTTTCTTCTTCAGGCTGTAACCAATCGAAACAGGACAAATTTAGCAATAATAAATAAATAATTCTCAGATAATTGAAATATTTTGAAGAATTAAATTATCTCAAAACAACAAACATTCATATAAAACAACAAAGATGATAAAAACATAATAATATAAAAGCATTTCACAAGTTACGAGACATTCGAGACGACATAAAGTTAAAAAGAAGTAAAAAAAATATATATATATTTTAGAGGGTATCAGTATTTAATCAATAATGATCGCCCCATTTATCAGCTATTGATTTGATTAGCAGTTCTGTCTGTCTCCCAAAAGGACCGATCTTGATGTTGTTCAATATAGTCATGTATGTTATTAGTTTAAATTTCAAAAAGTTGCTGATGCAGTTTAATCAGGTGTTTAAATAGGTAATTAAGTTTCGTTTATCAATCTTTTATGTCTCTCTGGAAGTTGACTGTGTTCACCTCTTTATTGATGAAAACCATTTCCTTGAATGTTCGTTTTTTTAAATTAGACTCACAATCTGGCGGCCATTCCCAAAGATGCCGAGGACTATATTTTGCCTGTTTTCAATAGCTATCATAGGGACTTACAATTCACAATAGAACATGAAACCAATAACAAGTTGCCTTTTTTAGATATGTTACTCCATAGACAAGAAACTGGTGAAGTGTTAACAGACTGGTACCAAAAACCTACTTCATCGGGACGCTGTTTGAACTATTACTCACAGCATGCAATGACACATAAGATTCGACTAGTGAAAACAGAAATAAACAGAATACAGAAACTTAGTCACCCAAACTTCTGGAATAAAAATATTAAAAAACTTACCGACCTCCTGTCTAACAATGGATATCCTGGACATTTAATCAATAAAATATACAATCAGTCACAAAATTCCATCCACACCTCTAATAACCACACTCTGACTACACCAAATACAATATTTAGAATACCAGTACTGTTCATACCAACTTTATTTAACCACATAAAGAACATCTTCGAAGAGATACCAACAATACAAGTAGTACCTCAATACAAAAAAACTGTTAGGAATTTACACACAAAACTAAAAGACAAGACAAAAAAACAATTTATATCAAACGTCATATATGAGGTAACATGCGACTCATGTAAGGCAAAATATATTGGTCAAACGAAGCAATAAATCTCAAAGAGATTGAACACCCACAGAAATGATTGCCGGTATCACAAAAAAACAACGGCCCTATCCAGCCACACAACTGATACAGGACACAAGTTCGATTTTGAAAATTATAAGATCCTAGATTGTGAGTCTAATTTAAAAAAACGAACATTCAAGGAAATGTTTTTCATCAATAAAGAGGTGAACACAGTCAACTTCCAGAGAGACATAAAAGATTTAAGTACCATTTACATCAATTTGATAAAGGAAACTTAATTACCTATATTTAAACATACCTGATTAAACTGCATCAGCAACTTTTTGAAATTTAAACTGATAACATAGATGACTATATGAACAACATCAAGACAGACAGAACTGCTAATCAAATCAATAGCTGATAAATGGGGTAAGAGATTACACTTAATAAATAATAAATTGAATAGAAAAAACTAAATTCCGTTCACACGACGTCATAGCTCCCAAAGGTACCCATCAGATACCTATACAAGTAATAAATAATTTAGTTTGATCGAAACACAGAGCGAACGCTTCAGCCGTTCAGCGTATTTTTTATTTGAATTTTAAAAAATTGAAAATTCGAAAGAAAGTGAACTTGTGATACCAATGATGTACAATAGGCATCAGTGTATGGAACACAAAAATTGGAATTTAATGTTGTTAATTTCATTAATATTGACCTTGTTTTGAAGGTAAGCGATCATTATATTGATTAAATACTGACACCCTCTAAAATATATAGGTATATATTTTTTTTACTTCTTTTAAACTTTATGTCGTCTCGAATGTCTCGTAACTTGTGAAATGCTTTTATATTGTTATGTTTTTATCATCTTTGTTGTTTTATATGAATGTTTGTTGTTTTGAGATAATTTAATTCTTCAAAATATTTCAATTATCTGAGAATTATTTATTTATTATTGCTAAATTTGTCCTGTTTCGATTGGTTACAGCCTGAAGAAGAAAATAAATTTTTTGAAACATAGCTTAAAAAACAAAACCACTTGGTTTCATTGGTCCAAATATACCCAAGAACTACTGAATAATTTATCGTATGAGCTTCTACCAGCCACCATTTTTACGGAAATTACATAAGCTTCATTTTTCATGAGGCAATGCCTATGCTTAAGTCAACTCAGATAAAAGTTATAGGCAAAAATTGAGGAAAAAAAATAAAAAATCAATTTTTTGATTTTTTTTCAAGATGTTTTTTGGATTTATTTTGTTGAAAAAACAAATTTTTGGACTTCAAAAGATGTCACTTCGATAGAAAATTTTATTCTCTACAAAAAATATCGATGCATTTATTCACCAAAAATGCATAGTTTGTCAGTTATAGCTGAAAACCCAAAAAGCTGACAAACTCACCCCGCTCCTAAAAATGCACCCCTATATCTGGTAGCACTATGCGGTTTTTGTCATCTCTAGGCACCATTTGAACATATCAAATAATAAAATTCCACTAACGTCTTAGTTCCTTATTGAATGACATAATCAATAGCCTATAATAGGATGTACCCACTTTGACCCTGTAAATCTGCAAACCTATGTGATTTTGCTGAATTGAATGTGGACACATCAATATTATTGTTTTGGACATAGGAACTTATTAATTTTACTCACATTAATCATTTGTTTTGTATGCCTGATACCAGTCTAGTAACCGTATCTATCGATTTGAGGAAAATTATCATTAGAAAGACGAATATTTGAAACATACATTTATTATTGCAACAATACAAGTTTTCTTAAAACTATCATAATTTTTTGGGTAGTGGTAGGTTTTAGTAACCCAATACAAAGCCATAATACTTAAATAAATCCTAAGGGTTTACAAAAACAAATACCTATCATTAACCGTTCTGTTATTAACAAAGTTAATACTATAATTAATATTAACATTTGAAACTTATATCTAGTGCCTATTTACGCAAAGAAATAGAATCTTTTATTCTACACATTGAGCAAATTAAGTGATTTATTAGTAGGTAATTTACAGAACTTGTACCTTAAAGAGTAATATAAACATAAAAAACTACTTATAATGTTTGGTCATCTATTTTGTCTTAATTACCAAAAATAGGTAGATATGGGTTTATAGTGTGGTTACTTCTGAGATAAACCTATGAATAATGTATCATCTCCGTGCACAACTGAAAATTTTTGACCAAACTTTTTTTCCAGGTGGTTTGATAAAATATAAATCGCAAAAGCAAAATCAATACCTAGGTAGGTACTTCAACTTCAAGATAGGGGATTTGGAAATCTCATGATGAAAAACAAAATAATCAATGCGTTTAGCTGGATTGATCTTGTAGAATATTTTATCCACCTTTTTAATTCTGCGCAAACACTTTCGAGTTTGATGAATTTGACTGTTGTGTTGTAACATGCTGTTGACAGGGAGCTACTGGTCTGTCTTCTACGCCTAAGCCAATGGTTGTGGTTCACTAGCAGTTTCGATAGCAAAATCAATCGATTTCAACTCACTAACTTTGTTGGCCTGCTCTTTATTAGCGACTTTTGATCATTTCCTTGTTACTTGAATTTTGGTGGAATAAGTAATTTGACTTGAATTGGATGACCAGTACGCCATCAACAAGAGACAAGAGGGATTGCGCCAAAGATAATTAAAAAAAAAAAAAAAAAATCTGACAGTGCCTCACATAATTTCCTTGATACATATGTTTTTTACGCAAGTAGTAACAATTTTGATTGAGGTCCATAGTGGAAGCATGGTTACTAGGGTGAAATACAGTCTACAAAAATTTTTTCATGGTTTGAATTTTCACATCTAGTCAAAAAATAGAAGTATTTTTTTTTTTTTAATTTTCAAATCCATCCATCACATGATTTGTCTATGTGTTACGACTGTGCAGTATTCTTTGCAACTTTTGTCTTGTTTTTTTTTTCAAATTTACTTTTCTCCACTTTCCTTCCTTATGAGAAGTTAGAGGGTGACTGCTAACGTCACTAAGGACATGAAATCTATGGTGTGATGAAATGACCATACCTCTGACTAAAATAAAAAATTGTCGGTTCAAAGCTTTTTTTGTTTATAATACCTACAACAAAGCCGTGGTGGAAAATTATTGGTCGTGCACCATTGTTTGACATCCAAGTCAATTTATGAGGAGAGCCTTACACAACAAATTCTAGTTTTCTTGTCGCCAGGTGTGGAAGGCAAAACTAAGATAGAGCTAGTTACTGCATTCCTGATTTGATTTTTGCCACATCAGATGTAAGAACTGGGTAAATCTCAAGCTAAATATTTTTGAAACCAGACCAAATATCGACCTGCGGTTTTCACGGGCTATCAGATTGACTTTTTGTGAAAAAAATTGCTAAATAAATAAAAAAAATTCCATCAACAAATACTACTCTCTATGACTTTTTCCTGAAATCTTCGGGTAAGTTCGTTTATTGAGAAATGCGTAATAACCAACCTGAAAATATTGTGGGAGATTTTAGATTTTTTCGATTTTCAATAACATACCGGTGTTTTTGACAGTTAATTTTTGATTGTCAATGTTATTGTTTTCATTAGAACTATTACAGCTGGATAAAGTTTCCCATGCATGACCCAAGCAGAGAAGGAAGTAAAAAAAAGTCAATTCATGCAAAACTTTGGGTTTCCTGGTACTATAGGCTGCACCCGTGCGGCCATTCTACAGCCTATTGAGAATGATTTCTGACAAAAATTTTGTAATTCTTAATGTAAATGCGAATTATGGGGGTGCCAGTCACGATTCTTTCATAAGCAAAAATTCTCCATTATGTCTGTATAATATGTACCGATCAGACACTTCTCCACTGTTCTTGCTCCCAGTCCAATTGCGTTTAAATGATCTGGTAATTCCCCCCATGTATGCTGCTTCATTGCTATTCCCGTCAACATCACTCGCGAAAAAAAAAAAAAAAATTCACTCTAACCACAAATCAAAACAGAAAATCAAATTTTCAAAAAAAAAGATAAGACGAAGACAAGCTTACGTCAATTGTGATTATGCAAAATGAAAAGGGGTCTTTCTAGTTCCTTTGACACGAGCAGGTAGTTCGGGGTAGCGACTCTAGCCGACTGGGGTTAGAGAGTTCCGTTTCGTCAATTTTCTATCATGGAAAGGAAATTTCTTCTCTATGTTGTTACAGAGTACGGCAGCTGAGGTCGATATTTTGGTTCGAAAAATATCGTGCTTGAAAGTTAGGCATAATATTCCTTTTTCTAGAAAGCAATTGTCCAGCAGTTTATATTAAAAGTTTTCTAATCTATTGGATATGGTGTTTTCTTGTATTTATGAATAGAAGATCAGCTGATTGATTGTTTTTGCCTTCTATATTTGGCAAAGCATCTGTTGTTCGAAAACGCGTTTTCACATTGTTTTTCAAATTTTACCGTTATCCTGTGCAAGAAGAACTTGGTGATTGTGTTTGAGTTAGTTTGAAACTTTCTCTAGCTTTTATTGAGGTGTAGAGGCTGTAGAGTATGATTCTTAAGAATCTTAATATATCATTGTCTCCATCCATCCATACTGGAGATCATTGTTTCTAAAACTATCGTAAAGTATATTCAAGATTTTCTTTTGAATTGGAAAAATTTTGGCTATTTTTTCTTAATGAAGCCTTAAAAATCTGTAAGCTTTGAGAAAAATAACTAATTTCCTGTATCTGGATATAATATAGGTATTCGTTCTGTTCTATATTCATTTTATTCGAAAATATTAACGACGAATAAACATAATCGGCATTAGGTACTAAAAAATTACGATTATTCACCTGTTCAGAAAACGTCGATAAGACGTGATTGATTGTCGATTTCTTGCAACAAAAAAAAATTTCATTCTATTCCCTTCTGTTAATTGGTTTGTTAACTAGTCTGGGAAAATTGTTGATTTTCAAAAAAAAAAATCCTACCCAAAAGAACTTTTCAGGGATGATAGGGGGAGAGTGGGTGATCATAAAACCGAATATATCAAACATTCACCCCTCTGGCGTTTTGCGCTATAGGGGTTGAAAGTGCGCCATTGGCGATTACTTGGTACCTATTGATTTTACAAAAAAATGTTTCAAATGAAAGATGTGCAACATTATTTGATCTACAATGTTTATCTAAAGATTTTTTTGATTCAGGGCCGTCTGTGGTCATAAGGGCCGTTTGAAATTTTATAATGAGAATGAAAAATTTTAACCAACATGAAAAAATTTTCTACAACTCGTACAACATTTTTGCTTTATGAAGTTTTTACTCACCCCCTGCCGTTTTTCAATAGGGGTAGTTTAAAGTTTTTTTATTTTTTTACAAAAAAATTTTCTTAATAAAAGTTTTATTAGATGACATTTTCTACAATTTTTCCTAATCAACTTTTTTTGTAACTCACCCCCATTCAGCGGGGGGACACTTCCCTCGGGGAAATTTTAGTTTTTAGGGGTATATATTAATTTATTTTTTCTTTTCTCGCCTTTAGTGCATATAAAAAGGTGCAATTAACATTCTAATAAAAGGATTTTTTTTTCCACCACCTTTTTGTTTTTAGGGGTAGTTCGCCTATTTTCAACTTTACAAAAAAAAGTTATAGAGAAAAGTTGCTCAAAATAATAAAATGAACAAGTTATAGCTATAGCGCAAAACGCCAGAGGGGTGAATGTTTGATATTTTCGGTTTTATGATCACCCACCCGCCCCCTATCATCCCTGAAAAGTTCATTTGGGTAGGAATTTTTTTTTTTGCAATACATGTATTTTTCGACTATTTTCCTAGACTAAACATAATTTGATTGAATCAGTTGTAAATTGAATAGTTAAAATGCTAAGAGTTCGACGATGGCTGAATTATCAAAAAATAAGTGATTTTGAAAGGGGCTGAATCATTGGGCTACATTAGGGGAATTGGCTTTCGCGAAATCGGTAGACGGATGCAAATAATTATTGTAAAAAATATCCGTTGTTGGAGAAGCTGATCAGAAGACGGTAAGCAACAAAGCAGCGCAGCAGGGGTTCTGGAGGAGCTAGAACACGGACAGATCGAGAACACAGGAGATTCAGATTGCTTGACATTAGGGATAGGCATAGTAGGAACCTTCATACCGAAACAATTTTTTGGGAGAGATAGGACAAAGAATGAGATCATTATTTCACGTCGCTTAAAATTAATACTCCCGCTAAACTCGAGTTGGAATGGTGCAACGCACGGGCAAATTGGAATGAAGAATAGAATCGGTTTTGCCTAAAAGCTGACAATGGTCGAAGATGGGTCAGGTGTCAAAGAGATGAAAGGCCGGCTTCTGAAGTTTGCCGTGGGACATAAGATAGCCCTTACCGGAAGATTCATGGTTTGGGCTTTGGTAGTAGAACTCCAAATGCCACGTTCCATTAAACTTCCTGTAAAAGGCCAACATTAATATTCTGCCATGGCCCGCAAGTTTGCACGACCTTTCTTCCATCGGGATACGATGAGTCGAAGGGTGGATATCCTACATACTTTCTAACCCTCCAATGAACTTACAACAGCTGCCTGATACCCTAAAAAAATGCCTCGGAGCTCCATAGATTATCGCATTAGATAAGCATGCCCAGGCGAACCGTTTAATTTTCTTCAAATGAAGGAGCAGCATATTACTAAATTTGGACTCTATAAGATGCGATTTTTCCAATAAAAAATTAATCAACTATTATTTTTTACACCATAAACACCATGTAAGAGATTTGTTCGAAAAAAAATAATAATATATATACTCTTAGCAGGTGATGCGTTCTTTTTTTTGTCTCATAGTATACAATGTGTCCAAGATAAGGAGGGCCAGTATGGAGATCTCAGAAACGGTAAGAGATACGCTTAAATTAAATAAAAAAGTTGCGCAATTTTGTGCTCATCGAAATGGCGCTTTGATGTAAAAAAATTCAGAGTGCTACCGAGATATCCGGAAAAAAACGAAATTTTGCAAAATCGATTTTATTTTTTTCTGAGCTTATTTGAAAATTATTGGAAAAGATATTTCAAAATAAATGTCACTTCATCGTTACAACTTTTCCTACTCTACAAGATGACATTTTCAAATTTAAAATCTGACGTTCCGTCTTTGGGCCACCATCTTCAATTTCATTTTTTTAAATACAACCCTTAGGCGACGTTCCTTAAGTTAACCAAGATTCTTGGTTTTTCCGGTTCCCGTTCCGTAACCCAACCACTCCTGAAATCTGGTTAGGTTATGAAACGCGGTTCCTGAAAAATTCGGTCCCAACTGTCACCGAATCTACCGATCAAAAAGCTTGGTTGTTTCGGTTTGTTTTCAATTTCTGACATTTTGTTTGTTAGGTTAGGTGATAATTTTTCAATATGTTTATGTTTTTTCCGCTTTCGAAGTGCATTTGCGGTGAAAATGGAATAAGAGGTGAATATTACATTCATTCATGTTGATTTCTTATTACAAATATATTTTTAAGAGGATAATATTCTCTTATCATCGAAGGTAAACCCGAGCTGAACTGAAGCGTTCCACACATAAACCGCATTTTCAGGAACCAGACTGTCCCCATAGACGAACCGCTATATAGGTACCGATCGGTAGCTCTGGTTAAGATACGGAACGCCGCCTTAGTTTTCTATCTCAGATTTTAAGAGCTTCTGATGCCCCAAAACCTATGACGTATCGAATTTATTCGAAAAAAATTATTTTTACTTTTTAATAATTTCCAACCAAAATTCTCTTCTCTGGCTCACTCTAACACAATAATTTTTCATGGAAAGTGCCAATAATATAAATGTTTCAAATAAGTGCACTACGTCATTGGTTTTGCGACATCAGAAGCTTATAAAATCTAAAGTAGTCCGTATTTAAAAAATTAAGTTGATGATGGGAGCCCAAAAGCAAAACGTTGGATTTCAAATTTAATACCGGCATCTTTATAGAGGAAGAAAAGTGGTAACGATGAAGTGCCATTTATTTTGAAATATCTCTTCAAATAAGGTCAGGAGAAAATAAAATCGTTTTGGGCGAATTTCGTTTTTTTCCGAATATCTCCGGTAGCACTCGGAATTTTTGAAATATCAAAGCGCCATTTTAAAAGGCACAAAATTTCGCACCCTTTTTCTAATTTAAGCGACGTCGTATTTCTTACCGTTTCTCAGATCCCCATCTTGCACACATTGTATATCAAATGCCATGTGGCTTCAACCGAAACTTATTCCGGTCAGAGCTGGATAGTCTTCTGCACCCTTTGAAACAATGCTCATTTGATTATGACAGAGACTACTGGGCACTGGCTAAATAGGTTAGACTGTCCTTTACACTGGACTGCAAATTTATCATTCTTTTAATACAATTTTCATTCATTTATAGTTTCAATCACAAGGTTATTGAAACATTTTCAGTGGGTTGACTCCATACTATAAAAAACATTAAACATTTCTTAAATTATTATTGCGAATATTTATGTAGGTAATCACTAATCACCTTATCTGTTAAATAAATCATAAATTGACATGTTGTCTTTGACGCAATTATACATTTTAACAAATTATTAAAAAGAAAACTCTATAAAATGAAATACATATAAACTAAATAATATGCTTAGGTATTCTTGGTTGAATTGATATTTTGTTATACAAAACTAACACATAACTTATAAATAATAATAATAATAATGATAGTAATAATAATTGGAATCACAGCAAAACTTAGAAAAACTTGCACGAAATAAAAAAATTGCACTCAAAAGCTGCGTGGGTGAATCATTTAATTTTTTTATAGTCAACTAGACTGCATACATAATATTCTTATATTAGGTATTTACAAAATAATCACAGATATAATTAAACATCACTATTTTATTTCGTATTATACTTAATTTATCATCCAACTAGGTACTCCACTCCAAGGTACATATGGGTAGGTACTTACATATTTCTAGTTGAAGCCTAAATAAGAAATCAATACACAAATATTGGATTTGTCATAATCTAAGGATTTGTCCATGCAATTATCACAGGCCAGCCAAAACAATTGGTATAAAAGCTGGAACTGACCTGCACGTTATTTTCATTCAGGCTCCTACTTTCTACAGACATTACCTTGTAGCAACTGTTGATTGAATATTTCGGAAATACGAAAATATACCAATGCAAAAAAGTTTCATACACACATTTTGAACAAAAAAAGTATATAGAGGTCCATTCACCGCACTCGCCTGAAGGCACCCTATGACTGAGATAAGCTTAAACGTATATGGATGCTTTTAAACGTATATAAATGCTTCTTTTCATGCAGTGGGATTTTCCCAGGGTGTTTAGACCGTAAAGTAACTATTGGTTCGAAGCGAGAATTGAAGGGGCCTTGACTGGCAAAGGGTAGGAAATACTCCATCCCATTCTCAGTCGTATAAGGATATGCTTTTGCACATACAGAAACACCGCAAATAAAGTCGTTGGCAACTTTGAACCTTCATAATTTTTGTTGAATTATTGGCTTTTGATGGCTACAAAAACTTATCCGCAAATAGAGCAATAATGATTGAGGTTAGATATCAAACTATATGATATATGTATAAAGTGTCGCCGAATGAAACAGGCGAAGTTGAGCTTATAGATATGCGTTTTTTTTTTTGAATCAACAAACGCGAGTCTGAGTCGATAATCACTTATTCAGATTTAAAAAAAGAAACAATGCATACAAAAAAACAAAACCTATCAAGACATTTCCTTGCACCAACTGATAATGGAATGGAGCCTCTGGCTACCCGACGTCATAGTTATATTCTACGTCGATCGTTACACTTTGAAAAATATATAGATGCAGTTTATGTACACATTGTATGTTTTTATATACAGGTGTTGATTCCTTTCTGCCATTTCCATCATCACCCTCCGTCATCATTAGTTCCTCACCTTTTTCTTCTTAGACTCGGGCAAAAGCTGAACCGAGGAAAGAGGAAACAATGCAGCGTCAAAAACCTGAAAAAGAAAAACGTTAGATCATTAGGTTGGAATTACCGAATTATTGCCAGTCATTGCATTAAATGGACCGATCGTACCAGGGGTTGTAGGTGCTCCATTGTGACGCGAAATTAAATTTCTTCTCGGCCTTTTGTGCGAGATTCAATTGTAATTTTTCCGGATGATTAAAATTTACAATTTTTTATTTGAAGGTGTTAGTGGATCTGCCTGTTCAATTGAATTAAAATTATTTTCAGAAAGAGAGAAGGGTTTAGTTATAATTTTAATTTAGGATGGTAACATTTCTTCTGTTATGGGTTAAGTTACTAAAAGTTAATATGTAGATATTTCTTCTACCAATAATGAATATGTAATACATAGCTTGCAATAAATTCACCATAAATATAAATACCGATTTTAATGACATACCATTTAGCGAAGACTAGCATCCAATCTAAATAGTTAGTAGTCATTCGCTGCTTGATTTAGTTTCAGTCGAAGCACGCGCAATTAATAAGTCCATTCTTATCCAAGAAGAAAATTATAGTTTGCTTCCTTTATTTTATAATAAATATTTGCCTCTAATGTTTCTGAACTACTTCATTCAAACACGCTGTTCGCATAAAGGCAATTAAACCTGTTAATTTATCAAGTGAACGTGCATATTTTTCTTTCTTTCCGCACTCGTAAACTGCTCCTATTTAAAAGGGTTATGCCAGCGCTCTCGATGGTAGGTAATAAAACTAAAACCGCGCCTCTTGTAATAAAGGTCTAATCGTTTTGCTGGCTAGAAACGGTACATAAAAAAAAAAACAAATTTTATTATTATAGTTATGACAAAGTTTACGTTATGATGATACCCGACTTTCTAAGAGCCAGCTTATTCACCTTCTGATAAACTATCTGACAGATAAAAACGCAATCCATAATCTTTATTGGCCGGCCAGTTATTCGTCGACCAATAGAATTAGAACGGTAAATTTATCTTGCAGATAGTTACCAGGAAGTTTATCTGAAGATGAATAAACCGAGCCTAAGTCTGTTAGCTCTAAGGTCCAGTTAAAATATGCTTTTATGGATTGTGTAACAACACGTATAGGTATTTATGTGAGTTGTAATTATTATTGATAGGGAACAAAAGCAGTTGTGACGCAATTGTAAGGCAGCAGCGCCAAGAAACGCCGGGTGCACGTTGGAAAAGAAGAGTCGCAGAGTAGTGGAGGTCACAATGACGTCCAGGCAGCGATGTCACCTCCAGAACTTTTATCTATCTATATATTTATCAGTAAGACGGTCGAAATTTGATCGTGGCGCCATCTAAGACAAGGATTTAACACTAAACAGCAATTTTTGCTGTAATTAGTGCTGCCATCTAATAGGCCGACCAAAAATCAGTTCGTTGGGAAAACAAATCCTTGTCTTAGATTGCGCCACGATCAAATTTCGTCCGTCTTACTACTTATATTTTGCATACATGCACAAAACTTGGATTGGTTTTCTTTGCTTTTCCTAGCCATACTGATGAGACCTGATAGGTCGAAACGCGTCTATGGATGGAAAAGCAAAGAAAATTAATCCAAAATTTTCTCATCAGTGTATAATAAGGAAAAATCTTTTTTTCCTATTTTGGGTTTTCCCAACGAACTGATTTTTGGTCGGCCTATTAGATGGCAGCACTAATTACAGCAAAAATTGCTGTTTAGTGTTGAATCCTTGTCTTAGATGGCGCCACGATCAAATTTCGACTGTCTTACTACTTATATTTTGCATACATGCACAAAACTTGGTTTGGTTTTCTTTGCTTTTCCTAGCCATACTGATGAGACCTGATAGGTCGAAACGCGTCTATATGGATGGAAAAGCAAAGAAAATTAATCCAAAATTTTCTTATCAGTATATATTTATCTATCTAGGGGGAAGGAACGCAGTAGAGAATACCCCATTTTTATATGACAATGGGCTCTTTCGCTCAAGTTTAAATACGTATAAAATCTCATAATCTCAAATGAAGGACTATTTAAGGTATATTTGCCAACAAAAAAAATTATCTACAAGGTTAAATGAGTTTTCGACAGGCACTTTAAAAGTGGAAAAGTTTAAAATCCTTAAAACGTGCCAAACGATGATGTATAGGGGAAACTGGGTAACGCACTGAGACACTAATGAAAATATTTTACAATAAACCATTAAAATACCTATCGATATTTTTTTTTTCAGTAACCCTCAAGAATAAATCTAAGTTAGAAATTTATTATGTTTTTGATTCTATAGTCACTTACAAAGGCAATATTTGACATAAACAGTTATCATGACATTTGTTATTGATACCCATGCAGGTGGTTCAATGAGACACTATATCGAATGAGAAATAATTACTTGAATAAACTGAAACAAACTTGTATAAATGACCCAGACAAAGTTTCAAAGTCATGGTAGGATCGATTTTAGTCTTTCCGTAATTCACTGGTTTTGGCAAAATCACATTAATATCTCTTTTAGCAACAGTGGCAATATCTCTAAAATCAGGACATTTGGGGAAAAAAATCCATCCTTTTTATCACTTTTTCTTAAAAATGTTAATTCATAATAATTTTCGTTATCACTATCGATTTTTGATAACAATTTTCCTATGTAATAGGTAGATTTTTTTCCTTTAACTAAACATGTCTCATTCATACCCAAGTCACTTTGAGAAATAAAATGCCATTTTTAAGTCCCCCTTTGATCTTAATTTAGTTTTAATAAATCCAATTAATAGAAGAAATAAGGTTCCCTTATATCACTCAAAGACCATGCATAATAAAAAAATCAACGTTTTTTCAAATTTCGCCGACAAAGTTCGTTGGCAAAAAAAAAATAACCGAAAGGTTGTACCCCCTTCCGCGTTGCAGACGAAACGAAAAATGGAAGATGGTTGAAAATAGAACCGATACTCCTCTTAAGACATCATTAATGTCTTATTGCGGAGACACCTATTTAAAAAGTGAAGAAATAGCTAATATTTTGAATGTCTCACTGTTACCCGTGTCTCAATGTTAAGCTGGGTACGCATATGAGCATGAACGCGAATGAGACAATCCGTGGCCGAACCATTTGCCTCGGATTCGGGAAGAAATAAATTTTTGGGTGACCTGAATAGTGGACGCACGAGGCGTTGTACGGAATCGATCCATAAATAGGCGGTGAGCATTCTTGTTGTTATTAATTTAAATTTTTAATCGCTTTCATCTCGAAACAACACGTGGACTGCCTCGACCTCGAAATGAATTTTTTCAAATTTCCATCCACATTGAGCACACATGAGAAGCGCACGAGCAGATGCCTCACTTTGATGTACCGCCAATCGGATCGGGTCGAAGCCAAATGCATGCGGGTTCAAACAAATTTGCACGCCTCGTTCAGACGTACACATGCGTATGCTCATGCGTCCTAGGGCTGCCTCATTCGCGTTCATGCTCATATGCGTACCCTGCTTTACTCACTTTCCCCTAAGGATATGAGCATCTCCTACCAATCAAATTTAAGAAGATTCCATCGACATAGCACGGACAGCTGTTTCCTTGGATGCTGGCTTAAGGCTTTAATTGCGCTGTTGCCAGTTATGACTTCATGTAGTGAGTCGTGAGAAAGAAAAATTAAAACTGATGATGAATTGAACTGATTACACTACCTACTCCCTAAGTAGGTAATTAATTTGATTATTTTTCTTGGTATTCTGCCAACATTGTAAAATTAAAATATATTACAAATTTTCAATGCTGACAATTAGTGGCAACACTGTCAAAATGCAGGCTGTGACGTAGTGCGGATAAATCTGGTGTTTTCATTTAGAGTGTTTTCTCTTTTATCTTTGTTCTCAAAAAGGACTATGAATTTTTAAAAAGTAAGAATGCAGAAAATTCTATTTTTAGTTGCTTTATCTTATTTAGTATGCCGATTTCAAAAATTAGTGGAAAAGCCCATTTGTTTTTCAAATTTAACTCACCTATTTTGGTCATATCTTTCATCAAATCCGTCTAGCTTAACAACGTTCCATTCATCTTTGATTTTGGCGTAACTAAAAGATATCTGAAAAAAAAACTATATTGTAAAATCATAAGAATACCTAATATAAAAAACACAGTATACAGGGTATAGTCGCTTTTAATAACTATAGGTTCAAATTGCGTCATACCAGCTATGAGTGCCAGGACAATGGTATAGTTTTTCTACTATGACGAAGATAATGTATATATTATTGTCATGGCTCTGGCGTGCGTGACAGAAATCTTGGGTACGTTTATTCAAAAATCAGAGACCAACTAACACAACAATAATTTATTGAACGTAACTATAACACTCTGACACTAATTACTTCACTAATAATTAACTCAATCAACTTGACTCTTACAATATTCACTATCTAAATCGTATCAGAGCCAATCTTAGAGCTCAAAACTACATTAGTTAGTAGTTTTTAGTTGGCCTTCATATATCCGTCCTCCATGCCTGTAAAATCCAGAAGAACGCAATAGTCTCTTTTCCTGAATAACGCAGTACGTTCTAGAATTCAGGTTCGCTATTCTGTGCGCCCTGGCAGAGGCGCCACACGTCTGCTACACTGCCCTTCTCTTAAGGTTGATCGTCCCGATCAACTTCACGCCCATGATATTTCTTCAATCTGTCTAGATGTACAACTTTCATCTTACTCCTGGTGTTGCGCTAAACTCGATAAACCAAATCATTGATCCTCTTGATTATTCTGTAGGGTCATTCCCATGCTGAAAAAAAATTCGGCGACACTCCTTTCTCTCTTGTTGGATTATACAGCAACACTAAATCACCTCCTTGAAATCCGACTGAATTGGCTTCCAAGTCGTATCTGGTATTCATTCGGTCACTGACTAGCTGATAATGCTCCCGAGCTGAATCATATATCCCTAGAAGTCGTGCCCTAACTTCGTCGGCATAATCTTGAATTTCTTTCTGTTCTTTTTTAGGTATTCCAAACATCAGATCGGAAGGTAACCTGAGTTCCCTTCCAATAACGATTCTAGCTGGACTTTCACCTGTTGACTCTTGAACAGCTGCTCTGTAAGCCATTAAAAATAGAGGCAAGTGTTTGTCCCAATCTCGCTGGTTCTTTGCGAGACCACTTTTGTCAGGTGCTCCTCTATGATCTTATTGAATCGTTTCACCATACCATCACAGTGTGGATGTGAATAGTCTAGGAGGTACTTATTTTCCCAGTCACGAAACATGGATAGAATTGTAGGGTTAGTAATTCTAAGCAAAATTCGTATATATTTATGGGGGGGTTCCGATGGGCTGAGGCACAAAATGCTTTAGAGCTTACGAATGCACAGCCTTTTTTTTCCAGTGATAAAAATAGCTCTAGTAATGAGAAGTATACTGAAGTTACGTAAAAAAATAGTCCGGCTAATCTATGAGTATGGATAATACGTCTGGCAAGTGAAAAATTGAAGATCCGAAAATTTTCAGCCAGACTCACTTTCCACTATCTCAGATAAGCCTAATTGCTATTTTCATATACTTTATGTTCTATTGTAGTAAATGTAAAATATTTATGACTGGGAAAATAAGTGTACTTGTATTTTTCATCGATCTTGTGAACCCATCCGAAAATTTCAGCCAGACTCAAAAATTCTTGTTTTGTATCACCAAGAGAACAAACTATTTAATATACATTAACTAGGAAAATAAGTGTTAAAAAATTTCACTGCCTTCCGGACTAGAAGGAATTGTCCTTGTCTTACGCCCATGATCTCTCAAATTATTTTAAAGATGGCGGATTCGAAGTTTCGTTCCTGATATGAATGCAACTCTAGTGGCACACCATGACGACTTAAAACTTCGTCCACTAGCACCTGAGCAATAGTGATGGCTTCTTGATTGGGAAAAGCGAAAACTTCTGGCCATTTACTGAAGTACCTAATCCATGATAACCAACAAGTATTTGTTACCACGCTCCGACTCAGGGAACAGTCTGGCAACATCTATCGCTATTTTTTCAAATGGGTGGCCGACGTTGTACTGTTTCATGGGCCCCCAAGATCGTAGTCTAGGGCCTTTACTGGTAGCACAGATGTCGCATCTTCGGCACCAGTTTTTAACATCTTCATGATAGTGGACCCAGTAAAAACGTTCCCGAATTTTGTCCAAAGTCTTGTTAACTCCAAAATGTGCCCCTGAAGTTCCGTCGTGTATTTATTTAAATACATCTTCTACTCGATCTTTTGGGATAACTAGTTAGCTCTGAGTAGTTTTCCCATCAGCACTTTCCCAAACTATTTTCTTTTCAGTAAACCATTTTCTACGGCCAGAGAGTTCCACTAGTAGTGAGCTACGCCTTGTAAATTAAACTCTTGTTCGACACTACCCTCCATTCTGGCCTACATTCATCATTTTCTTTAACATGTAGAATTTGCCCGATGTCCTGGGCTGGTATTCTGGTCTTCGAAAACGCTCACCGCTTTTCAGTCGCTCGGCACTTCTAATGTAAATTTGCATTAAAAGTGCCGAGCGACTAAAAAGCGGTGAGCGTTTTCGGGAACGAGAATACCGGCCCTGGTCTGCCTCTTCACCTGCTCTCATTTGTTTGGTAGTCCATTTATCTTTAATGATAAGACCAGTTCTTCTTACAGCTAGACCAGTGTTTTCCTCATGCATATCGACTCTTTGACGATGCTTGAAATCTTCTTTGCATGGCCGTCTAGACAGAGCGTCAGCATTTTTATGTAAGTTTCATTTTTATGCAAGTTTCCAGGTCGATGTTTAGGGCTAGCGTCTCTAGATCTCCTTAAGCGTTGGGAACGATTCCTAGATGGAGAGGATATCCTTAGTCTACAATCCCATTAAATATGTCCGAGCTTATGGCACTGGTAACATTTTACTCGCTTTATTGGTATTTATGTGTTTATTTGGAGTCGCTTCCCGATTGTCTTTCTTCTAGTAATAGTTTCTCCATTTTCTCCATAAAATTACTTATAACATTCTCGACGCTACCATCCTCGTTTGACGATTGTTTATCCTTGGGGTCCTCAATGGTCACTGCTAGTATTCTGGGTCGTGAGGCACCAAAGATAGCTTCCAGGTCCAATGCTCGGACAAGGGCTTCGCTACTTTTTCTGAACTTAGACATTCTCAGGTTTCCCCCAAAAGTGACTGTTCTGGGAAATGTGGCTGCCGAAAAGCTGGAATTTACCGCAGTCTTCTCTGCTGCTTAGGTGCATGTACAGGGTGGTCCAATTTGGACACTTTTAATAGGAATCGTCAATGTCTGAGCGAGATACAGAAAAATGTAAATGTAACTCTACAGCTCAAATTTTATGAAATCGTGATTGGTGCAAACCGCATATTGATATCTTCAACCATTTTGCCGCTAGAGGGCATTTCTCGATTTTGAGCAATACTGAGAAACCTTCATAACTTTTTTGTTTATGGTAATAATTGATTTCCGGAAAAACATTTCTAGAAGCACTTTTTCAAGCAGAATTCAGTGACGTTCTTAGTTTTTTTTTTCTATTCGGCCCCAATTCCAAGATATTGATTAAAGTCCGATTTCTTTCAATAGGGGACCCTAAATATAAATAGCTCATTGGATAGCTCTGCTTTTACTGATTTCAATGATACTATATTCGAAAGGTTTATCTTTGACAGTTTCCGAGAAAAAAAATATATCTGTTTTTGTCATAAGTAACAGTGTGTTAGAAAAGGATTTTATATCTGTAAGGAAAGAAATTAATGATTTAGAATAGAACATCGTAGATTTTGAATATTTTGTTAGTTGTTATTTGTTTTCCTTCTATTTTAGTTGCTATTTAACAAAATTCTTAACAATAATTATTGACGAATTCTTCTTTTTGAGATGTTATCTATTGCATGGATATATAGGTAGCCACAGACAAGGAATCTTACGTGGCTAAACATGTTTGTTTAGTGCAATATTAAGCATTTCCTCCGAAGAAGCAGAGTATCCCTCAAAAGTATCTGCTTAACGGATATCGCGAAAAAATCAAATTACTTTCAATTTTCCAGCTCCATTGATTTAAAATTTTGCGAATTCGCAATATATTGAATTCTGACAGATTTCACTTTTCTTGACAGTGGACCGCTCAATAGGAGTGGTCTGCGGAATTCGCAATTCTTGATTCGCATCTATATGAACTAAACTTTATTTGAACTGACTGAGTGAACAGGAATCTCGGGGGTCCCATTCCCATTTTTAAATTTTATCCTGAATATTCCTGAACACTGCCATCCATTGCTTGGCGAAAAATTCCAACTTCCTGACGAACAGTCCCAACTTCTTGACGAACACTCCCAACTTCTTCACATACTCCTCTCATTGCATACTTTTATTTATTAAATCTTGCCTTTCCAGACTTTTCTCGAGTCTGGTTTGTTCCTCAGATATTACCGATTTAATCCATTGAAATTTTCCTGATGCTGGCCCTTTTTTTTTCATTTTCGGGATTCTTCTTCTTGCCTTTCTTTCCGACTTCGGGCTTTCTCTATTAGGCTTTTTTCTTTTTGTCTCTTATCTCTCGACTCCGATATTTGATATGTTGCTCCATTTTGTTGTGACTCACTGACTTCCAAAAGAAACGTGCTTTATTATAAAGAAAAATATTCAATCGAGAAATCTCTAGAACCACGTTAACGTTTGTTCATTTTATCACATAATAGGATTCCCGAACAATCGCCCTCAGTCACTAACATTTTATTTAACTAATAGTTTTTCAATCCCTGTAATTCGTTTATTACATTTATTATTTCTAGAGGTCTGCAAATGTTCCTAGAGCGTAATACGTGCATCCTTAATAATTACTACAAAAAATTATTCACTGAAACATAAGATTTTCTTTCTTCATCCGGTATTTTGCGTTGCGATACTTGTTTGTACATTTTGGTTTCATTCTTATAATAAGTTTGTTAAAATTATTTTTCATTTATGAATACTAATAGGAAGGATTTGAGCTCCTCTACCAAAGTATTGTGTGTAACGTATTGAACTGAAATATAAAGTCCATACAAGTTTACTACCGAGAAGTTGTTGAAAGGTACGAAAAAAATTAGCCGCGACCATCCATCCTGGAAATTTAATTAAACCACACAATACCACGACATAATCGCATGATAGCAATGGCATCAGGCAAAACTTGCAGGAAACGATAAATTTCGTGCCGGCAGGAGGCGCTATACGCCTCAATAAATAAACTTTTTACCTTGCTAATTAAATGACCATTCAGATAATCATGACCGTGTTTAAAATGAAAGTTTGCGGGGATCCTTTTTTTCCATCTACTTATTTTTTTATAGCCCAAGGCTCTTTTGAGAATATAATTCAAATTGGCTATTTTGAAATTGTGTGGATCGTTTTTTTTTTTCGTTTTTAACCAAAGCGTGAGGTCCTTGGAACTGGCGGCTGTTTAATTTGCAACTACACAAACTTTGCATTTGAACTCACAACTTTTATTGAAACATTTTCATGAAACCTACCAAAATAATGTAGAAGATCAACGCATAAGAATTAAATTTATATCGATTTCTCTAAAAATAGAAATAAAAATGATTATTCTCATTTGTTGGAAATTGGCAATAATATTCGTCAGCATTCGCTGGTTTATTTTCAGTAAGTATCTCTCCTAAATACGACGCTGGAGAAAAATGAAACCAGAAACAGGAATAAAAAGAAAACGCGTTCCAATAACTAACTCAATAGGTGTCCTTCTCTGGTGATGAGATTCTCTTTAACGTCTCGAAATTAGTTTTTTATCTTCTAACGAGATTTACGGCAAATTTTCCTTAACCCTATTGTTCCTTAATGATACTTTTTACTGATATTTTAAATTGGATTTTCCGTTATATGCAATGTAGAAAAAAATGTACTTATGTTAAAAGACTATTAAATCCATAAATAAATAGATATCATTATTTTAGAGGTCCTTTATGTATTAATTTCCAGTATCAATATTACCTGATCTTCAATAAGGTCTCGTCTGATAAACTTCATCGGCTCTAAATGGGAATGAAATTGATCCACGACAGTCAACGGCTTCTTAAGTAAGTGTTCTACAAAAAAAATAGCAATTAGAAAATATTATTGAATAGAAATACAGCGATTTCAGACAGTACTCTTAGAGCTAGTGCAGGATTTCTTCAAGGTATTTTCTCCAGATATGATTTCTCCTACTAATAATGGAATAGCTACCACATTCTTTCAAAGAAGGTCCATTCACGTCGGAAATGCGAGAATACATGTCAAAAATTCTTGTCCGAAAATGTAGATAAAAAGAACGTAAATGAAAAAGTTCTTCACAATTTTTGTCAAGACACGGATAATTTTACCCTTAAACATCCTACTGCCTGATAAGCGAAGGCACTAATATATAAACCCAGGAATGTGCCGTAGACTATGAAATCTACTTTACGCGGTTTGTCTACTCGTTATCTACGTATTGTTTACATCCACTTTTTTCCATGTAGACTATGTAAACTATGTAGACAATATAGACTGTAGTGTAGACAATGGAAAATTTGAAATTTGAGTTTTTTTTTTGAAAGTTTGCATTGCATTAAAGATATATTGCATTAAATTAGGCATTACCCCTGCAGTTTAATTAACTTTACAAAGCAGAAAACAAAACAAAGCAAAAACAGAAACATAACCTTAAAAGCCTGACAGCTGTCAAAAATTGTATACTTTACGTTTTGTCTACATATTTTACACGTTGTCTACATAAATTACATAGTTTACATTGTCTACGCGTTGTTTACACCAGAACGTAGACAATCTTTATTTAGGCGTAGATGCACATCCCTGTATAAACCGACATGTAAATTGGTATCTATAATCTTTACAGCAGTTCTAAATTTGGGATATACTGTTCCTTTAATCTTGAAAGTGATGATGGAATACCGTAAATACAATCATCGCCAGCTCTTAGAATTTACCGTGCCAGTTCACTTTCTTGGCTGAAAATAATATGATTGACCTATTGTCCGAAAATAAAGCCTGATTCAGGTTAGTTCCTTTTTTGAGTCAAAGGACCTGTACTGTAGTTTTGGGATTTTAGACATTGTCATAATTATGTCCTCATATTTGCTGATACATTAGGAAAATACAATAAAAACGAAAATGGGCGTGCAAAGTGTTCATTATGTCAAGCCAGATTGCGGCCAATTTAAAGCAATTGCCGTGTTTGATGTAATTGACGTTTCCTCAATTTATCAATAAAGCTTAAATTTCATATAGACTATCCCAGGGTTTTGTTAGAAGGCGTGTTTGACTGTTAGAAGTTTTTATAGAGTATTTTAAAGGTGTTGACAAAAAACGTTTGAATGCCGACTCTATTAAACCATAGTTGAATATACTTACATACAGGGTATCCCACGGTGGATGGCGTATTAGACGTTTATGGAGAACTGAATAGCGAATCATTTTGAAAATTTGGCAACCGGGATAAGCGATCATGATCTACACTTTAAAAATATTTTTGACTCTGCAGTGTTGCCGCTCCTACCTTAAACTAGTGGTAACATGGCTACCTATTTCAAATAGAACACCCTGTATATTTTGAAATTTTTGAATTCGGCATATAATTATGGGCAACTTTTCCTAATACTTCCCTATACCTATCTATCGCCGAAAACAGGACTGTCAGTAAATCTCAATATCTCTCTCCTATAAAACAATTTTCTGCTGAAATTTGGGTTATTCCTGAACAATGCCTGAGGCTTTTGATCTTTCGCTCACATTTTAGTTAAAGTATACGGGATGGTCTAGTAATTAATTTCTGCCGGTGAGTAACAAAAAGGCTATCAGAAAAATGATTTTTTCAAATGGAACACCCTGTATAATAATATGGATTTGAAAAGCTGATGAAATTAACTTTCAGACTATGTATACTTTGTCTATAGGAACCTAATTCTTCATGCTTCCGATTTATTAGCGTTTATTCGTGAAATTTCATAATCGACAAACTTTCAACGGTTTTAACAGTATCTAATGGTGGGGGAATACATTTTTTGTTATATCACCATGGCAACTTGTGCCATGTCCCTACAATAGCGGAAGATAATAATTACTGCAATACAAGTTTAATTTATTTATTTATTATCCATTTGTGATCAATGATGATTATGAAATTTCATGAATAAACGCCAATAAATCGAAAAGATGAAGAATTAGGTGAAGGCAAAGTATACATAGTCTGAAAGCTAATTTCATCAGCTTTTCAAATCCCTATTATTATACAGGGTGTTTCATCTGAAAAAATAATTTTTCTGGTTTTTTTATAAGTTTCTGACAGAATTTAATCCTCCATTAGGCGCGCGAGTTTTTATAACATCATTAGTCGCGCTGTATCACAGAGATACATATACTAAATCATTGATAAAAACATTGAACCAGCTCTGATGAATTTCGGTTTTACAATTTCTATGTATTTATTCGTGTACTCAACAATCACTTTTTACTGAAAAAGAGATTCCAGAAGTTGGATTCTGTTTTCGCAGTCGTTGCAGTTTGGCCAACAACGCCCGGTAGCTTTACCATATTATGTGGTCTCTTCCGAGTCAGCTTGGGAGGAATTTTGTCTCATCGAGTTCCATCTTCACCTAAGATGAACAGCCTCTTGTACCATAATATATATATGAAAAAAATACCAAGAAAACAGTTACAATTGAGGAGCACTGCTGGTAATAACAAAAGTCACGTTGTATCAGTCAGGCACAAAGCCGAGCGCACCCCTAGTTTTTTGGAAATTCCAAATTTCCAAATAGAGATACGATCATATAATTTTGGGAAAGTGATTAGTATAGGGTACCTAAGGAATACTACAAACCATAATATTATAGGGTTTTTCCTTTTTGATTTATTTGCAAAAATAATAGGCATGTATCTCTCAGATACACGCGCGACTAATGGAAGGTTAACTTCTGGACCATCCTGTATACTTGAAATAAGATGTGAGCGAAAGATCAAATGCTTACAGGCTTCATCCAGGGATATCCCAAATTTCAGCTCAAAATTTTTCTATCAGAGGGTTTCAGCTCAAAATTGTTTTATCAGAGGGAATTATTAGGATTTATTGGAAATCCTATGAAATTTATTTATTCCCGGAAAACGGCGACAGATAGGTATAGGGAAGTATTAGGAAAAGTTGCTCATAATTATGGGCCGATTTCAAAAATTTAAAAATATACAGGGTGTTCTATTTAACATAGCGATGTTGGCACTGGTTTAGAGTAGAAGCGGGAACACCGGCGCATAATCAAAAATATTTTTAAAGTGTAGATTATGGTCGTTTACCGCGGTTCCTAAATTTTCAAAATGATCCGCCGTTTAGTTCTCTATAAACATCTAATACGCCATCCACCGTGGGACACCCTGTATACTCTCTTATACAGTGTGTCCCGCTTAAAATTTTTATTTTTTAACCGATTCAATTTATTTTATTTTTCTCTTATATCTACTCGAATTTGGCATCTATTAGGCTCATAATTTTATTTCTGTGGCTGTGCTGGTGTACAGGGTGTCCAAATTTATAGGCTCAAATTTCAGTAAGTACTATTAGAGACTTAAAAAAAAAGCTGATAGCAAATTCTTGTTTAGAATGGTCTAGAAACCAAATGTACTAATTTTTGTTTCAATACGATCCAGAGTGGTCACAACAAATTTTCAAAATTAAATCGCAAACGAAACAAATTTTAAAAATCAAATCGCAAAAATGTCATATTTTGAGACAAGCTCACTACAAGTTTTGGTTGAGGACGTTCTAAATCTAAAACTATGCTGTATCAAGTTTTGTTGTTCCCAAGAGCTCAAATTATGACATTTTTGCGGTTTAGTCCATTAAATTTTGAAAATTTGTTGTAATCACCCTGTATCGTATTGAAACAAAAATTAGTCCATTTGAGTTTTAGACCATTCTAAACAAGAATTTGCTAGCAGTTTTTTTCTAAAAAAATCCCTAATAGTGCTTATTGAAATTTGAGCCTATAAATGTGGACACCCTGTACACCAGTACAGCCGCAGAAATAAAATTATGAGCCTGATAAGTGATAAGTGCCAAATTCGAGTAGAAAAAATAAAATAAAATGAATCGGTTGAAAAATAAAAATTTAAGCAGGGTGTTTAATCCTTAAGCGGGACACACTGTTATTTGTAATGACACAGCTTAGGTAGAAAATTCACTTTTTGGCAATTTAATATAATACCTAATATTTTTTACTTACCGACAATATAGCCCATCGTAACATCATCCGGAAGACGAATTCTTTCTCCAATGCTTATAAATTTTCCATCACTGCAACAAAAGAATCCTTTTTAAATTTCTAGTTTTTGCTCAATATAATGGCAATACGATCTCGTACATATCAATACGCGCGAATCCAATTGAACTACCAAGAAAGGATCTCGAATTCTGAAGCAAAATCGTATTGGTCTGTTTTTTGGATAGAGGTAGATATTGGTATCATTCATAACCCATACATTTTCAAATCTTCCATACTTAAAACCGATATTCGTATTAACAATAGAGCATGGAAAAGCAAACTTTGCAAAATGCATTGGATTTAGGAAATTTAAAACCAAATGAATTTTCAATAGGACTGAAAATATTTAAAACTTAATTTTTGTCTCATTCCCTAAAATCAATCGAGAAATCCCTCAGCGATATTCATGTTGCTTATTCATCAACAGTGTCAAATTTGAAAATTGAGTCTTGATTAGCATGGCGTCCTGTGAAAACTGCTCCTAGTCATTCATAAAAAAAATTTCAAATCGTCTAACCTGAGTATGCAAAAATCCACCAAAAATCCCCAAAGTTTACGGCACGCTTCACTCTTCATCAATAAATATGATCACGATTCACGATCCGACCTCTCTGACCACGTGCCTCGCGCTCTTTCGATCGGATCCCGCGCGGATAGCAATATGAATAACACTTCGTTTGTGCCATCCACCAACTGATTGGTAAATTACCTTTTCTATTATTTATGGGCTTGTATAAAATATTTAATATATCGGGACTTATTTGGGTGAAATCACCTCTCCGGATCTAGATTGAAATAGTTTTAGCAACGAGATTTGAGAGCTCAACTGACCCGCTTCTTACGGCGAAACTTCAAATAAGCTCGTAGAAAGGATATTAGATTGTTTTCAAATTACACACTTTAGTATTTGTTTTACGGAATATTCATCTGGCTTAGCGTCTTAATTTAGAGTTTTGTCAGGGAAAATGTATACCTACTATATACACGGTGGATGAAAATAAGACAAGACCCAAAAAATTGGTCAGAATTCTTTATGCAATATTGTAACAGTAAGCTTGCACTAATCCAAACAAAAACTAAATTTTATTTAAAGAAAATAGTCATTTTTTATTTAAGGAAAATGGCAGCAAAATCATTGAAATGTCAAATTTTTACACTCAAATTGCGCCACATTGACGAGAAATTATTCTGGTCAGTCAACTCGTTCAGATACTTTTGGAAACCTTGGTAGAGAATATCTCACGATAATCAGGCCTATGATGTATCATTTTCTGTTCTTTGAACAGCAACCTAAAGTTATTTTTCGCTGTTTATTTTATACGTCGGAATGGGGACAGACATAGATGTTGAGCTAATAAAATACCAGGAGAGGATACGTCATATAGGCCTGATTCCGTTGTTTGGCTGCACCAAAACCTTAATCCTACCCTAGTTCATAAAAAGTTCATAATCGTGAATTTGCAACCTTTTCAGGTAGGACCGGCCGTAAATATTCAACCTGCCACATGAATTCCCTGTTAAATAAAAATCAATTTACCTTGAAGAAAGAACACATTCAAGTAGAAACGGCCCCTGCCCTGCGCGTATTTTTTGGACTTTGGGACCCAAACAAAGGGGTTCAATCAGGTACCTATAGTATTTCCAACGCTATTGCAATGCCAATGTTACATCATCATTAGCGATGACTCAAAAAATAATCGTTATATCTTAGATAGACTCCTCTCTGTTCATGGTTTATCGATGTTAAAAATGTCTCATCAAATTTTACCAGTGAGGTACCAATTTAGGACATATAGTCCGTTGCATGGTTCTTGAGCTACGACTACTGAATAGACAGAGGGAACAATGGGCTATTGCTGCGTTGTCATATCAATCAGGTATATACCTATAGTATTTCCAACGCTATTGCTATGCCAATGTTACATCATCATTAGCGACGACTCAAAAAATAATCCTTATATCTTAGATAGACTCCTCTCTGTTCATGGTTTATCGATGTTAAAAATGTCTCATCAAATTTTACCAATAAGGTACCAATTTAGGACATATAGTCCGTTGCATGGTTCTTGAGCTATGACTACTGAATAGACAGAGGGAACAATGGGCCATTGCTGCGTTGTCATATCAATAATATTTATTATTATTATTATGAAAATGGAGGAAATTTTATTGCAATTTTCATGTATTAATAAATATTATCGATATGACAACGCAGCAATAACCCATTGTCCCCTCTGTCTATTCAGTAGCCGTAGCTCAAGAACCATGCAACGGACTATACGTTCATGGCATGATATGAGGCAAAATTGCGATAGCGTTTTGGATGATATATGGCAGCGTAATATCAAAAATAGACGAAATTGTTAACAAAAAAAATAGGCGTTGTCAACATCTTTGATGCTTACTATCTTGACCAAAATATCTCACCATTGAGATGGCAGATTTAGTCCAGGTCACAGGTATCAGGTCGTACACTTCAATTACATTTAGCATCAAATCTTCTTAACTTCGTCTCTCTTAGTTATTCGGTATTGTCCATAACATTATCTTGTGCAAAGATGATTATTAAACGTTTAACAAAGACCGACATATACATACTACTATAGTTATTTGTATTATCCAATAATGCGCTCCACGAGGCCAGACTTGTTGGACTTTGACGAAGTGTCCCCACCATCAACCAAATTAAGGTCTGTTCGGTGGGTTTGGGTCACACATGATCAGGCAAAGGGCGGAATCAACACTAAACCATCCTGTAGTCAAATATCGACTTGAAGGAATATTGATTTTGTTAAGAATAACACTTTTAATATTTCATTAATTATCTTTGTTCGAGTAAACTTAAATATTCCTTTTCTTGTTCTATTTCATTTCTTTGGCAAATTAAACATTTCCATCATAATGTTGTCAATATTCTTCTTGAACTCGCAGATAGTGTTAGCGATCTGTACGAGACCGGGTTAATGGCACAATCGAGAAGATTTTATAAGAACAATGTTTTCTTGCTTCTTTAAAGACTGTCCTGTGTTGGCGGCGTCAAACGACACGCCCGATGCCAGTATATTTCATATTGACCGAGACGATTAAATTTTCTGATATTTTACTCAAGGATCGCTTGACCGCCACACTCGCCAGTTTTTTAAATAAATGGTGAAATCCTCATGTTCTTTGTCTTTCCAAATAACCTATTCGTTTTTCTTAAGACCTATATTGTATAACCTTCAAACATACAGTATCATATAATTACATGTCCAATAGTATCCTGGTAAGCGATCCAACAGTCATTTACCAACTTAGAAAAAAGCTTTTTGCGCTGATCTAGGTTGACCACATAGGACATGCGTGAACCTCATTCTTGAGCAGTCGAGTTGCTCACGGCGCATGAATTTGCTTGAAATCGGATGTGTTCTTTCTGGTAGGGCCTCATTGCGCACAGCTACCTTATATTTGACAAAAGCCCTGTTCACATGTCTTCTCAGAACACTCTTGTATTTTATATAGAGGTGAAAAGAGATTAATGCAATAATCCCTGGTCCGGAAAAAAGCACTGGGCGACGATGATCGCCAGCCTTGAAGCCCTCGCCTTTAGGCAACGATGTCGGTGTCGGCTGCGTTTGATCCCTGTGCCGACGAGATGATTTTCTCATTCTCGGGTCGGAAATTTGGAGGAGGGGTGCCCAGGGAACAGGGGGGGTTTATTTGAAATTGATGCAACTTTGCGTACACGCAAATAACGTCATTTGCGATTGACAATTAGTGCACGGCTTATTTGAAATGCACTGCGAGCGATATGACTTTGCACCACTCGCAACTTTTGCGCATGGGGGTATACCGATCGCAAGCCTACTTACGCACACGCAAGTTATCTCGTCAATTTGTCAATTTATTTTAATTTTGATAGTTCATTCAAATAGGTTCGAATACGGTGGTGATTTTTATAAATATGAATTTTAATACCGTTATAATTAGTAACAATGTGCTGGCTCGTCTTGAACTAGCGAAGTCTTTCAACGAAAACCTCGCAGTAGGGCCGCGATTTTATGCCTTTGTCCTAAGTGACCGGGCTTTCGTGAAAAAATGTCGGCTCAATAAAGCTACTTTTGAAGATATATGATGCTATAGAGGGCTATTTGGTGTCACCAAGAAGAGCATCTGCCACTGGGCACCGTATTTAATATCGCTGAGGCTTCTTTCCACATTCTTTTAGTTGACTCTTTGGTAAAGGTTGGGGCGTTCTCTGACAAACTAGACAAGAAGCCTTTTCTCCTCCGCATCTGCGTTTGCGGATCTCTTTTTTTCTATCTACAGGAATAGGGCTTGGTGAAAGAATATTCATTTTTTGTGGTAAATTGCTTATAAACACTACGAAACATATTTTAGAAAATTCTAACCTCAAAACATCAAAAAAATCATAATAAATAAATGTCATCGTAAAACATACGTCACCGTCAGCCAAAATATCGTAAAATTCAAAAATCCACTCATTTTTATATGGTAGAGTTTCAACATTTTGTCAAAATTAAACTGGCAACGCAGCGAGCGAGTGCATCTTTTGCGTGCACGCAAATAGAGATGCACACGTCCAATGTCAATTTCAAATAAAGCTATTCGCACATAACAAGCTGCGTATACGAACCCATTGATGCAACTTTACGTGCACGCAGATATTTGCGATCGATTTTAAATAAAGCCCCCCAGGGTAGAATGTGTTTTCGTCAGATTCTTATGCACGCAAGTTGAAGATCCGATGGTTTCGCACACACTGTGGGATTTGAGAACTTAGGAACACACTCTTCTTGAAAGGCTGTACCACATGAACTCATTCCTTAAATTTTTGTAGCAATGAATGAGGTTTCATAGGAGGTCTCCTAATTTCCAACTTGCCATTGTCTACGCCAAAGTGGAAACTCCTAAATTTGGCTTAAACTTGCTGGAACACAAAAAATTAAATGTACATCCGTGAGTTTTTTTCATCAAAATCTACCGCAAGATATTGGTTCCAGAGCGAGTTTTTCATTTTTTGCACGTAGTTCTTGAAGAAATTATTCGATTAAGAAGAGTTAAAGCCTTTCGATCAAAGAACGGCCAAATTGAATATTTTTCCGCTTTAACAAAGTTGCGGTAACAAAACGCAATTTAATCTTGCGGCTAACCAATTTAAAGTCGTTTACGCACATAATGGGTTTAATCGGCTGAAAAAATGGATGGGAACCCGATCGGTTTTTGGACTGAGTCATGCTACCGCCGATCGGTCTTATATTAAATTAACTTTTATAATAATAATTCACTTAAATTAATTAGGTATTATATGCTAGGAGTCTATTCCTTTTACATGAATAAATTCTTCAGAGGAACCCAAAGTATATTCTATTCAAAAAGCGAGACCCTCAAGGTGGCGTAATCATTGTTTGTCTTGAGGCATGTGAATATTTCACATTGGGTTTCCAATATACATAATACAATGTAGTATATCCATTTTGATAGAAAATGCCCACAAAAATGAACTAGGCAACTTACAGGTATTTCTTGAGACGCTATGCTCACCGATACAGCAGAAATATCAGTAGTTTTTTTTTTTTTTGAGTGAATGTGATAATGTAGGTACAGGAGATTTCTGCAGCATCATCATCGTCAGTTGTTTGTAAGAACTATGTCATGATTTTTGAAGATGGAAAAATT